GCCTCTTCCCCATGCACCTTCTACTATTTCTTTCTTTCTATCACTCACTCACTCCCCAAGAACAATACTTCTTTGACCCCAAAAAAAAAGAAGAAAGATAAGATAGACATTATGCAGTGAAAATTAGTAGATTTAATTTGCTAAACAAACACCCTATAAAGTGTAAAATACTGGGTTTCATGTTCAAAATGGTAGATTTAATTTGCCAAAGGGACACCCTATGAAGGGTAATGGGTTTCATGTAAGGATAAGTGGAATCTAATGTTTATTTTTTTCATACAATTGATAGTTTAAATCATAAAAGAATGAGAAGTTTCTTATAGACATGTGAGAGTTTGAACTTGAAATCACTGGTTTACTAGTCAAGTTTAATTTTCCATGTGATAAGACCCGGTTGGTGAAAGCAAACTTAGTATACACACCCGTTCCCTGCTGACATTAAAATATGAGTCAATTACAAAAACAGAAATGAATTAAAATAGGAGCTAAGTACACTTTGCACCCTTCTTATTTGGGGCCGCTACCAGTTTGGGTTTGGCCTCTTTCTTTGAAAAAATGATGCGCATCAGTTTGGCTTCCATTTGAGCAGAAATAGTTCCACTGAATGTTACAAAAACTACGGACTAACGTTAAAAGTTAAATTCTAAAAAGATAAAAAGGGATGACCAAACTTGGGAGGAAATTTAATAATTTATACATCGGAGGACATGAGTAACATACGTAGTATTGGTTTTTTTAATTTTTAATGTTGTCCAATCAGAAACGTCGTGGCAAGTTGTGATCCTAACACGAATATATATATGCACCATCGGCTTTGAGTTGGCTGGGATTAGATTGGATGCACAGTTCACCTGTCTATTATTGGTGCTGCCCTTTTCCCAATCACATCACCATCTTCTCATCATCATATGAATGAGCTGTTCCTGTCAACTCACTTACAGCTTACAACAGAGCGCATAAATAAATAACATCAACCCAAAACTTCCTTCAATGCTGGTAATATTTTCTTACCAGAGCTAACTGAGATAACTTGGAGGAAAAATTTTCACTGCAACAGGTTAATACTTCACCTTTTCATCCGCAGTTGGTTTTGCTTTCTTTGAATGCAACATTTCAAACAATTCTAAATGATAGACACACTGCTCTTTTGACCGGCTGATCTAGCTCATATTTTAAAAATAATAATAATTTAAGTTACGCATAGACAAATACAATGATATAAATTTATTTTTCTTTTAACCGATTGACCTAACTTACATAAATAAATACAATGATATAAATTTATCTTTCTTTTAATCGACTGACCTAATTTACATTTATCATTTTTCTGTAAATTTAAATTTAACATAAACAAATACGACGCTATAAATTAAATACACTTGAACTACCAGAAATTTGATGGGCAGCTCCCTTTCTAGTTCATTATTAATTAGTTATAGTAAAAAAGAAAGATTGGTATGTTTGATTATGGGGAGAACTGTTGGTCTCATGAGTGAGAGTGAGACAAAGGTTTTTGAGTACATCACAAGACAAGACATACACTACGTACCGTAGTAGGTGATAATATATTTTAAATACTTGGTTAAGCAACCAATCAAACTTAATGAAAAGCATCCAAGGAGATAATGTTCGGCTGTGATTCCAGATTAACAAGCTATACGTGGAAGGATATTGTCCACGTACTCAAGTTTTGAAGACCTAGATTAAGATAATCATTCGTCCCCACCCAGCTGCTTAGCATACAAAAGCATAAGTTAAAACAATTGTCTTGGCTTTATTAGCTCGGTAAGTATTCGACTTTTGTGTCTAATTATGAAAGTGAAGAGGTTGGAGGGTCGCAACCAATGTGAAACAATAAAAGGTTTGTCTTTAATTTGTAAGGGTAAAGATCAAAGCTAGCTGTTTCAATCGTACAGTAACGAGCACTAAGTATTGAGTATTGACCAAAAGATTAAGAATAAGGTATTATATGTCTAATTTCATCTTTAAGAGTCGGATTTGATGGGAACAGAAAATCATATAATTAGCGTAAACATAAAGACTCAAGTTGTTGAATAAAGAAAAGGTATCTTGTCTGTCTTTACCCATGGACTTTTTGCAATATCATGCATCAATAACCTATTGAATCTGTGCATTTTTTCTTTTCTTTTTGGCTCTTTCGAGTTTCATTTTCATTGGACATGTAATTTGTAGGGGGTTGAATTATTGATGAGGGAGTTTGTAAATTGGCAATGTTGTTTTAACTTTGAATTCGTGCTCGAGTTTGAATTCTCTTTCCTATAATTTAGAGTATAATATTGTTTATATCTAAAATGATTTCAGAGTTCATGAGAATAATTTCGGAGTGAAAAACAAAAATTAATATTTTATTCCTCATTATTCTTACAAGAATAAACAATATCAAGAAGAATGTCAGCATACCAAAAAACATGTGGCATTTCTTTATGCCCTATGTTGGAGATAAAAATCCCAAAAAAACTAATTTCGAATATTATAGGAATATAAATGCAGTAATTAATATTACAACGCTTCCCTCCAGCAAAAGTTTAAAATTTTCAGCAGCGTATCATAATTAGTTTCAAAATGGATTTAATTAATGGTTATAAGCTGCATGTAAATCATGACATCTGCATGATTGAATTGAAAGCATATGATATTACGAATTAACTTAAGCGACTTTTTAATGATTCTTAATCAGAACGTTTCTTTCTGAATGTCAAGCTTTTTTCTAAAGTAATTAAAGGCCTCACTAAACAATTTTAGTGCATGGACTTTCATCTATAGTCTTTCCAATTGGTTTTCCACATGTCTATCATTAAAAATTACCCGAGTTAGCAAAAGCTAACAGGACAGAATCTGCTTTCTCTTTGCACTTTGAATGTCCCAGATCATAATAATTGTAGGTAAGTATGCTGATGCCCACTCCAACAACCAGGAGAGAATCTCAGTCAAAAGCTTCTACTTTAATTCATTACTTAAATTCATATATGCGTAGCAGCGTAGCTATGATTAATGATAATTTACTATTGTCATAGACACTCATGGTGACCCATATGTCTCTGATTATCAGTAAATCTTCTTGCATGTCTTCCACGTGGCCCCGGGTAAAAAATTTGTTTAATGAAAGGGCATGAACATGCTTGTGTAATATTATAATACAATCACGTGATATAATCAATTCACATTACATTATTATTGTTATTATTGACGCGCTTCATTAAACTTTTGGACATGCAAAATCGAAAAAACAGCCCATAACATTATTTTTCAGAAGACGGAAAAAACCATTTGAGGATTATGCAAACACACATAGCACAGCAGTGTACGAGAACAACTGTATCATGTCTACTGCTAAATTATCTGATTAAGCCGCTTAACCAAATGAGTTTGTCCCGTGGGAAAAGGGTCAACGCACTTTGACTAAAAGAATTATTTGTGTTAATTGTCACTTATCAGTACTTGACTCTGAATCGTTGGGTAGAGATTCAGATTCAGAATCAGAACCCTAAAATAAAAAAGGAGGAAGAAAGAAACCAAAAGCAAGTAAAGAAAACCTTTATTTATTTACTTATTCCACTTAAAAATAAAATCTGAATTATGACAAGTTGAATAAAATGTTTAAAAATGTAGCACGTGCCAGAAGTTGATGTTTTCATTTCAGGATTAATTTTATATTAATCTATAAGGTTAGGGTTTCAGAGAACTACCAGTAGATGACCCATCAGTCATTTTGATTTGTGCACAGTGAAGAAATTCTGGAGTTAAGGTATTAAAAAAGAAAAAGAAAATGAGAAGAGAGACTCAGTGTGAGTGGCAGCGGAGGTGTTGGTTAATGACAGACAGGAGCTTATTTCAGAGCGGGTGGGTGGGTCCCACGAACGATGTCGTTTTGGGGGAAGGCGCGCGAAAACAGCGCGGGAGCTGTTTCCCAATGCACTAGACATCATAACCCCCTCTCACTCTGCTCCTCCTACCAGTCCCCACTTCTCTCTCTCTCTCTCTCCTCACTCTCTCACTCCACCATTCATTCATTCATTCCCTTCCAACTGTTTTTTTCTTCTCTTCATACAATTTATTTTACCATTTTTAAGAAGAAAATAAACTTTTCTTTCAAACCTTCTGATACGTCTGCGACCCACCCAACACCCCCCCATCATATCAATCTGAAAACTCTCGTGATGCTGACATCCATGATCCTTTTAACGGTGGGTTTGAATAGAATTGAAGTTGAATCTGAACTAATTTTTAAAAGTTAAATTTTTATGGGAGTGATTTATTAAACACAATATATTGAAGTAAATTTAAGAAGTTCAATCTGGACGCATTGAACAACTGCCAAAATTTTTGTCTATAATAATTGAAATAGTCCAGCTCAGTAACAAACATATATGGATGGTAAAATGGGCATTAATAAGAGAGATATCGAAGAGGGTCGGCTAATATGAGCCACGGGCAAGCCTTACTATGCACCCATGTGGGGTGTGGGGTCCACTGGAACCAGGTATTTAGAGACAGGGATGGGACTGTGTTTGGGTCCCAGTTATCATCATAATCATGGTAAGGAAGAGAGAGAGAGAGAGAGAGAAGTCTCTCTCCCAACTCCAACTAGTTGTCATAGTGATAGTGATATATAGCTAGTAGTAGTAGATGGTGGGAGTCTATCAGATTGATGTGATGGTGTTGGGTGGGCCCATTCCCTTTGATAAAGGCATTTTGGGTTTGGGCCCAATTTCCATGATTTATATAATTTGGGACCCAAATGATTGTTAGGAGGAGATAGGCAGACACACGATTTATACATGCCGCTCCCTCTCTTTTTTTCTTCTTCATATTTGGTAAAGTTTAATGTAACTGCACACGATTTATGTACATCAATTCGTAACATTTTTGCGTGTGAGTGAGTTAAAGAGACGATTTCGATAACGGCCCGATTCTTAAAAGAAAGATTGGCCCATTAACTCAATAGGCCTAATGGGCTTCTTTTGTATTCTGTATTAGACTGATCACAACCAACAAACTTCATCTTATTTCTTATTCTGTGTTTTATACATGCGGAACCTTTTTTCTGTGCACGACTGTGACAACAATGCAACACAAATTTGAAATACAAGGTATGAAAATAATGACCCCTTCACTGAGTGAAGCAGCAAATTTATAGGGCAACGGGCACCTCCACCGGCGACTCGTCCTGGCCGACAACAAATGTCTTCACAAGTTTCTTTGAGGCAGTGACAATTTCTATACTGTACGTTCCTTGGAAGCCTCTAAATATGAACTCTCCCTGCTCATCAATGTGGCCATGTGCCTGAGAAAGCCACTCTTTCTTGAGCTCTAAGTAACGTTTTCCAGCTTCGTTCACATCACCTTCTGCATTCACTAAATGCGAGTTTTTTCGACTCATAAACAACTCCCAGAAACCCCAGAGCATTATACCTTCTACTGCAGGATTGGCAAAACCTTCCCTGAGCATCACTTCCAAATCATCTGCTCGAACATGTTCATTGATGGATGACACATCAAGCTCTGTGAACCAGATTGGGAGGCCAAGAATGCCCAATTTATCAAGAGCAGAACAAACAATCGGCCCCACTGGACTATCTATATGTCCTTGAATTCCAATGCCACCCACAGGTGCACCTTGCTGTTGCAAATCAAGAATATGATCAATGTACCTCTCTGGTGATGATCGAGTATCGCATCCATCCTCAACGTGATAATCATTCACAAACAGAGTTGCAGATGGATCCAGTTGGTTTGCAGTCTTGAACATCTTTGCTCTGATATCTTTACCCAGCTTGTCTTGATAGAATGAGCCATGCAGCATCTCATTGTTGACATCATAGTGCATGAACTTCCCTTTGTAGCGGGTAAGAAGATCTGTGAGCCGACTTTGGACTGCCGTTGCCAAGTCATTTTGGCTCAATGAACGGATCCATTGTTGGACTGTGTTCACCACTTCCCAGAAGATACAATGACCTCGGATGTTTATGTTGTGACTCTTGCATAAGTCCACCAACTCATCAGCATCCTTGTAATTGAAATTTCCTTTTTGGGGTTCAGTCCAATACCACTTCAACTCATTTCCAAATACAGCCCAGTTGAAGTTTTTAACGAAAAAATCAACAAAGTCTTCATTGTCAATGTTTGTTCTGCTTATGCATGTCCCAAATGGAAAACTGTTTTGCGTTTGTTTAACTTTCACAAAGCTGCCAAGCAGGCTGCTTGAGTCCAATCCTGAAAATTTTAGGACAACATCACGCTTCCGGATCTGCATTCCAACAAAGGAGAAATACTCAAATTCGGAACAAATTAGGGGAATGCTAATTCAGATCACTATATACTTTAGGCTCTTATCTTATGAAGCAACGCCCAGTGAGACAAGTTTGATGATGCTTGTAATAATGTTATGCTGGAAATACTTATAATGATGCTTGCAGAACAAAATGAAAGAACAACCCCTTTACCTTATCAGTCTGCTTCTTCAAGTATTTAAATCTTGCTCGTCTGTCAACAGGGAATATCTGAACTCCAGCAACCATTAAGTCTACACCTGGAGCAGGGCCTTGGACATAAACCATTACTTTGGATGGTTGCTTCTCAATTCTAAAGGAACCACCGATTTCGTGCCATCTGTTGTCACTCGCCTCAACTTGCCCTCCATTCACCCACTGGTTGTCCACACCAAGTGCAATGTTCACATTTTGTGGACCAGTTGCTCCAGCACCTATCCGAACCCAAGCAGATACTTGATATGTCAAAAAGAGTTTCAGTTTGTCACCAATCATCTGGGCAGGACCCATCCAAGTCTGTGTGCGCTTTGTTACAAGGATGTAGCGACCGCTTAAAGATTCATGAGGTCCAAGGCCATCTCTTGCCATTGGAGGAAGTATATGGGGTGAACCAGTTCCGACACTCAAAGTGCAGTTACCAAGCGGAAACCAGCCATTGGTGCCCTTACTTAGATTGCTGTTCTCAATTATATTTACTCCAAAGGCTGGATTCTATGAAAACAAAAGCCAAAACTTGAGTGCTTATATCTATGTATTCAGCTCCAAGAAAACATGCTCAGAAATATTATAGAAAAAGAATCACTTATTAAACCAACCTCAATAACTGGTGGAGGAGAGGGAGGGACTTGCTCAGCATGCTTGACAACAAAACTGTTGAGAAGAATATCCGTTCCTGCTGGTGGACCTTCTAGATAAACGACTACTTTTGATGGGGAGCCATTTAAAAGGAACTTCCCCTGCAACTGTGCCCAATCCTTGTCTGTTGCCTGCACACTTTATAACAAACCAAATCTGATAAGGTGCAAATTAACATAATAATCAAAAAAATTATTTGAAGAAACAAATTATATGACAATTTCATTAGAAAGAGACATGGAGAGATAATAACTTAGCAATGCCGATATACTGTTCACGTTGATTTGGTGACTGGACCCATAAGGTAGCCCGTACATCAGAACTAGTGACATTGTTACCAAATATCCGAACAACAGCAGTGGCCTCATACGCTAGCTTCCTTTGCAGTCTTCCAGTGACTTCCTGCTGGATGCCATTCCAGCTCTGCGTGCGTTCTGTTGCAGATGCAAATACCTTTCCAGTTTGAGGGACGATTTTCCCGTCTCCCATCGAGTCATGCAGAACAATTTTGCAGCCTCTTCCAGACCAGTTATTCAATCCATCATCGAATTTTGGATTTAGGATTATATTCTCATCCCCAAGATTGACATTTCCTGAGCTTCCATTCTTTCAAAACACAAAAGGAAGATACACATTCCAAAATCAATCAGCAATAGATGATAGCAAAGAAGAAAAAGACCTTTTCCTACTTTAAAAAAACTTGATAGCAGTCGCTGCAAACTTCTTCCATAAACAACACTTAATTGCTACATCTTTCTTATGCTTCCATATATACTTCAGAGGGAGCAAGAAAAGGGACTATAAGTACCTGGCATTCCTTTGGACTAGAAGATGAGATCACAACTGACTTTATAAGAATGTCAACTCCAGGAGAAGGCCCTTCCAAATAGAATACAACCCGATCAGGCATTGTTGACAGGGAAAACTTTCCGTCCAACGTTTCCCATCTCCCATTTGATACAGAAATTCTGCAGTTGGTTACTACTGTTAAAACAAGCTCCTTATCTATAAAGAAACAAATGCAGTAATACGATAAAAACATCGGTTACCTTCCAATCAACAAGAAGTTAGTTGCTGAACCTTGGTATTCAAGTTTCAAAGTTGCTAGGACATCAGCAGATCCCTGAAGAGGTCCCGAGACTCCAACACAAGCCGAAACCATATAAGTGGAACCCGGGGAAATTCTCCCAGTGATATCTTGCTCCAAGCCTTGCCAACATTCTTTTCGATTGTTAACAACAGCATAATTATTGCCTGCTGACTTTGCTTCTGTGTGACCAGAATCAGCTGAAACTACAAAGCCGTCACAGCAGTTGGGGTGCCAAGAATGCAGCCCTCCAGAAAAATCATGGTTCAGTATGATATTTGTAGCATGGCTGCTACTTGAATTGACCAATTTCTGGCCGGAGAAAGCAGAAGTCATAAAAATGTTGGAGCATTTAAATTCAGGTAGCTACTTCTTAAAACCCTTTATCATCATTTTCCTCTTTTAAGGACTCAAAATCAAATACCATGTAACGTCAGATTGTCTGCTTAGATTTATTTATAAATAAAAACAAAATTCTATTTTTTGTGTTTATTATTTTGAAAAAAAAAATATATATTTTGTGTTCAAAAGTTAATTTGCTTCGATTTCAAAGTTCAGTGAGTTCTATAAAATAAAAAAATAAAAAAGTAAAACCTCTTATTGAGTGAAATACATGTTTATAAAGTAAAAGACAATTGCAATTCTCCTGAATGAAATATTCTCCAAAAGCAACCTAACGAATAACCCAATGTCAAGAAAAGCGTCTAAAAAACTTGAGGAACAAAACAGAACAGAAGAAGAAAAGGCCAAACCTCCTTGTGGTCGGCGCCATTGTCGGTCTGTTTTTGGTTCTCCATGGCTTCTTCTTTGGATCTCTAACTCAACACCAAAAAACCAAAAATAATCATAGAAATACAAAATGGGTAGCTGCATTTTACTCATAAAAGATAATTAGAGAACTAAAAACACTACCTTTGGATGATTCTGCTGATTGCTTTTGGAGACTCGGCTTCTGAAGCACCAAGCTATGAGCCTCCTCATATATAAACACAATCCCAACTGCAAATTTTCGAGTAAAGTGAAGACTACGAAAAGCGCGGGACCATTTTTTTATTTGTCTATCTGGGTTTAATTTAACCCAAACAAGCAAAACTATTGGATTAAGTATCCTTAAAAGCAACGAACGACTCTACCAATCTGAACAAATAAATTAGAAAACAAGACAAAAAATCTTGGTTCTTTCTTTGTTGTTCCAAGGATTGTGCTTTGCTTTGTCTTGCAGATTGGTGGTATGCTTGTATTGGAATGAAAGCTCTCCAGAGGGTTTAATTTATGATTTGAATATTCATTTGCCTTTCTAGCCTTTGACTGCAAGACACATGATGATATTAATCTTTTGGCTGTTGGATCCTTTGCAAAATTAGGTGAGGCTGGGCTTTCAGAACTATCTGTGCTCATTGAGTCAATGGATATATTTATAAGATTGGAACCCAACTTTGAATTTTCATTTGCAAATTTCAAATTTGCGTGCAAGGCTGCAAGCCCAGAAAGATGTAAGATTGGGTACAGATGTTCGATCAATATGAAATAATCATTTTAGGCAGACTAAAAATTAAGACGGGTTTTAGTTTTTGCAAAATATAGCAAGGGTAGTAATTTTCTATAAGACAAATAAATGAAGAATTAAAGATAATGTCAATACGCCAATGGGTGTAGCTATGTAAAAAAAGGGTATTGAGTTACGGATAAGAGCATCTGCAATGATTAGAACTAATGTAATTTTATTGCATAAAATTGAACTAAAATAGTAAAATCTCACTTGCAATTGTGTGATTTAGTTCATTACAATAGATGCAATTGCAATAAAAGGTGCTTTGTGATGAACCATTTATTGCAATTGTAATAGGCTAACCATAAGACTCATATGCCAATAAAAAATGGAAAAAAAATACAGCAATTAATGCAACATGTTTTTAAGAGCATCCACGATGGTTGTTCAATAGTTCAATGCAATAAAAAAAAAAATTAATTAATTATTTCAAATATATTCAAAAATTTCCTCTTTTTAAAGATCTCTTTGAGAATATTGCAATGGTACAATTTTAGTGTTATTAAATTTGTCCCTTTTATTTTATTTGAGTATGTAAAAAAATGTGTAAATATATATAATTATTGATCTGAAGCTACTGAACTGTACTATTGCAAGTAAAACCGCAGTTCAATTCAATAGATGCCAAAAAAGATCAATTTATTGAACTATTGAATAACCATTGCGGATGCTTTAAGAGATCTTATGTTCGAATCCCTTGACATCTTAATTATGTATGTGTGAGAAACTCCATCTCTCATATAGTTTAGACTATCATTATATATATATATATATGGGTGGGACTGGGTATCTAGGCCTCTCTCAAAACGTATCTAATAGTTCAAGAGTCTTGACCCAAGAACAGGTAAGTACATTTCTTGGCAAACTGAGAACCCATAAACCAATTTCGAAAGCCCGTTTTGCATTTTGGGCTTAAGCCAATTTTGATGCAAAACGACCCAACGAACCATTACCCGTTTGAGAATAATCCTTTAACTAGTTTTATAATTAATCCTCCTCCATTTTTAATTATTAAGTACTTTAAGGCCCGTTTGTTATTCTACTCAAAAGTCATGAATTTTTTTGTTCTGTCTTTGAGTACATCAAGCAAATTGGTTTTCATTTTTATAACAAATTTTTGAGTCGGTTGGAGCATAACAATTTGTTGAGTTTTGGTATTAAGTTCAGGTGAAATGTCTACAAAATTCCCTTTATTCATATGAAAAGACCTGTAAATTAATTGTTAGATTCTATGACTGGAGCCAGAACAAATGTGATTTCACCAGAACAAGTGTTGAATCACCAGAAGCAGATTAAAGAAGCCTGTAAATGAAAAACAACTAAGACTGTG